CAAGCCTTTGTATTATTATATTGCAGTTTTCTGCACACTACAGCAAAATGACGGTATTCTTCACATTTAATTGCCTTCCCAACGCATAACAAAGGGGAAAATGCCAGGTCCTGGGCCCAGTGCATCTGTTGTTACGTTGCTAGGAGTTTCCATCATAGTTTAACACTTGGCTGCAGCAGGGATTTAGTTCTGGGAATTATTTTCTCCACGTCAGCCACCTAGATTTAAGAAAGGTAGCTGGCCATAGGCTATTTCAGAGCCAAAGCCACATTGGTGAAACATACCAATTTATCTTCACCTTGCATGTGACACTCAGAGCAGGGGGTCCCTAAAACCCTCCTTCAAACATCTCCCATAAAGGGAACGTTTGCAGTAAAGCACTGCAGTTGTGAATGTGGCTAAATTAATTGTATCAGCTTTTGTTTGCTTCCAAATTACAGACATTGCTATTTTAGTTGCTATGAATTGCAACGATGCAAAGAAGTTTCTTCCACTGCTGAAAGAGATCGATAATAGTAATTAAAAGAAGATTACAATTACAAGGATTCCATGCCTTAATATGTTCTGCACAGATCACTAAATTTTAAAGGCCATCGGGTCATGCAGTCTTACATTATTAAACAACAGACTTAGAACTTCAGAGTTTTCTGTCATTTAAATTTGTCTGCTTTCACTTCCAGCCATCGGCTCATGAAAACTAATTCTTGCAGAAAGGGCGATCTTTTATACAACTCATTTGAAAACCATTTTTTTCTTTTTTTTTAATGTAAAAGAAGAGACAGACAGACATGTACTTTCAGACTAAGTCTGAAGTTTTAGAGAACTCTTTTACTTAAAAAAAAAAAAAAAAAAAAAGAAAAATCAGCTTAGTTTCAGAGACTCTGAGCACACACATTCCATTCTGGTTTGTACTTTGAAAATTGGCTGGATTCCCCAGTATGTTTAATAGTGTCCCTTCTCACACATATTCTATATATGAAAGGTCTTCTGTACAGCTTTGGTTTAGCCAGAATCTATTTCAGTGCAAGTAACGTTTCCCGACTAGAAAAGATGCCATGCATTTTTCTGATTTCTAGGACTATCATCCTACCAATTTTCTAAAATAAAGTACCTATCCCGCTAAGGATTCCACTTTCCTCTCTCTCAGCTCATTTTTCTCCAGCCTATTTTACCTTGTTTTCCTACCCTTTCAATACCACTTAGCCACTTAATTCCTCATCCATCACTCTCTGCTGTGCAAGGTATCTCTCTCTCTCTCTCTCTCATTATCTTACCTTTCCCCCTCCTTGTCATACATCCAAATCCCCCTGAGCAGACTCTAACAGCTTGGCTCTGCCACTGCAGGCATGGAAACCTACGCCTCTAATCCTGCCTCAAATCATCTTAATCCTCCCCAATTATCAATTTCTGTGTCATAATCCTTTTCATCATATCCTTCTACTGAGGCTCTGCATCGACTCAACAACAAAATAACTTTGATTTGCGATCATGTTGGCCTCCAGCGGGAATTTCACAAGCTTCCAGCCTCAGCCTAATGTTGTCCATGATGGAAATGCCACTGTTCTGACTCCGGCCACGAATGACTGCATTTGAAGAACTCTGACCCGCAATAAGAAAACTCACATTTTCTTTTCTCAAATTCTTTTTTTTTAATCTTTCTATTTATCTCCTGAATTCTAGCACTCAAGTGCATAAGGCGTCTTATACAATAACTCAGCAGCCTCTGCATGAGAACCTCCAAGCACCTCTATGACATACAGGAGTCTACATCTACATCAGAGAGACATGAACCTAAACTTCTTGGTCGTATCCCTCTTTATGCATGAGAAACTGCATAAAGGGAGAAAAAGAAACTGCCTGCAATGGGTGTCTCCCTCGACTCACCTAGCTCCTTTGATGCTTTATCTGCAAAAGGAGGGATGGAGGTGGGACACAGAAGGGAAACTTGGAAAGTCATTTTCACTCAATTGGCTTTTAGGGCTATTCGCCCTGATTTGGGTCCATTCTTGGCCACCATATCAAGAACTCAAATAGCTGCAGGACCTGCCCCCAAGTTCTTAACTGCTAAGTTCTATTTTTTCTGTTAACTTTTTCTGAAATGCCACAATCTGCAACTTTAATGCTAAAGACAAATGCCCTTATCCAACACCCAGGGCCAAGATAAGAGCTAAAATCTACTAAAATCAAGAGCTAAAAGAACACCTCTCTCCTACTGGCCTTAAGGAGGAAACATTCACCTTCTAATGAGAAATACTTTCCTTTTAATCAATTGGAATATTTCTTCCAAATTAAGCTTATTGCTTTACTTATTCTTTACCTACAAACAGCGTTTGAGCACACTGCTGCTAGTGGGCCAAAAAGTTAAATCCCAGAAAAGAAGTAGCAGTTAAAATCAATGTTAAAAACCAAACAAAGATAAAGAGCATTAATAACTACAACCAGCCAGGACACACCGACCAGCTCAAAAACCTCAGCTGTCACAAATGAAGACATAGCAAACAAACCAAAAAAAATCTCCTCTGGAAGACAGAGAAAAGGGAAAATGTAGACCCATGGAGGAAAGACTGACTGTTTACACACCTGGTTTTGAAAATCACTGCAATTCTTTTCAGGCAGAAGGGAAAACTGGATTTGGAGGAGTTTGAAATCAAGTCCATAAGTAGTTACAAATGTCTGCTGGAGACTCCAGGGCCGTAACACACCATTTCATGAGAAAGAAATGTTACCATTGCTTCTCTTAATGAAAAAGGAGTTGATACTTCATTTGTTTGGAGTAAATGATAGGAGATCTAGGATCACTGCTCATGATACCTTGCTATTATTACATTTGGGTCAAAGTTTGCCACTTTAAGTGTGCCCCAATTATAACGCACTGTGCCATTGATTCTCTTCACTGTCACAAACATTGCAGATGGTTTATTTCCCATCTATATGTTAGAGAAAGAGGTTAAGCTCATAATTTAAATCTGTACGGCTCGGGCACGGAAATTTTCAGTTTGTTTTACATATTAAAGCGAGAAAATCTGGAGATAACGCTACATTTTTATAAAAATCAGATTCCTCTTAGTCTGAAATTGGTTATCTTAAAAAGCTGTATTATATTTATAACCTTGATGATACCACCTCCTTACACAGCCTGACAGTACAACCTGCTTCGAGACGGGCAGCCCTTATAAGATCTTGAATTTAAGCTGCAAGTATTATCACTTCTGTCATATGTGCTATAAATAAAATGGAACAATATCGAAAGATGGTACCCAGCACAGAGACAGGGATGGAATTTTAAAGGAGATCTACAAAATCTGTAATAAACTCTGTATTAAAAAGTAAGAATGTAGATTTTATATAGTGAGGATATATAACTGCAGAAAAAAATCTAAGAAAAAAATCTTAAAATGATAAAAAATGAACAGAGGCTTTTTCATCTGTTTGTGTCCCTAATGATAAACGGCTTGAGTGAAAAAGTAAAACAAGTCCTAATGCCATTATAGTTGCATTTTAATAATGGATTTTCTCTACACTGACTTGTGCATGCATTATTTGTCATGGTTATTGCTTGTTTTCTCTATTATCTTAGGCTGCAAGCTCAATTTCGTAACTGTTAATACATTTAGCAGTTAAAAAGCTTTAATTCAGTGTCCGTTTAAGACATTTATATTCTCTCTCCTCAAACAGTTTCTAAAATTCCAGCAGTAGCTCAAGAATCATTTAAAAAAATGGAGCATAATCTCCTTCTCAATCAGACATTTAAAAAGACATCACCAAAATAAAGAAAATTACTGCATGGTTCAAAAAGTAATCCAAGGACATGATTTTAAAAATTCTCATTCAGAGGCACTCTCTACTTCCGGATAAGTCATTGGCAAATTTGCTAACAGCTTCGGTCACAGCAGATAGCAAGTTTTGATTATTTATATCAGGGCATATTAGTCTGCCCTGCAATGAATCAGGACTATTTAAAGGCAATTGTTGGGTCTGAGCAGAAAAGGGAGGCTGTGGCAGGGGGACATCCCAACTAGTCCAGCCTGTTTTGACATGGACACACAACAATGCTTTTGGATTCACAGAATTGTCAGAGTTGGAAGGGACCTTCTAGAGACCATCCAGTCCAACTCCCCTGCCAAAGCAGGGTTGCCCAGAGCACATCACTCAGGAGCATCCAGGCAGGGCTTGAAGATCTCCAGAGAAGGGGCCTCCACACCCTCCCTGGGCAGCCTCTGCCAGGGCTCTGCCCCCCTCACCCCAAAGAAGTTCTTCCTCACATTGGAGTGGAACTTCCCATGGTCCAGCTTGTGCCCGTTGTCCCTCGTCCTGTCACTGGGAACCACTGAAAAGAGTCCACCTCCATCCTCCTTCAACCCACCCTTTAGATCCTTGGAAGCATTAATTAGGTCTCCCCTCAGCCTTCTCTTCTCCAGGCTCAAGAGCCCCAGCTCTCTCAGCCTTTCCTCATCAGGGAGATGCTCCAATCCTTCCATCACCTTTGTTGCCCTACGCTGGACTCTCTCCAGCAGTTCCCTGTCTCTCTGGAACTGGGGAGCCCAGAACTGGAGGCAGGATTCCAGTTGTGGCCTCCCCAGTGCAGAGCAGAAGGGGAGAATGACCCCCCTCCACCCACTGGCCACACTTTTCCCTATGCAGCCTAGGATCCCATTGGCCTCTTGGCCACAAGGGCCCATTGCTGGCTCATGGATAGTTTACCATCCACCAGGACCCCCAGATCCTTCTCCTCAGAAGTGCTTTCAATGCTCGGATGACAAGCAAGTGATTCTAAAACCCACGTCCATTAATGTACACATCCACACACGGTACTGAAATCATAAGACACCTCTTCTCCAACATGGGAATGCTGCATATGTGAAGCCCAGCAGCTTAATTTCTTCCCTGCGTATTTGCACAGAGCTTCAGTTGCCTTTTATTGCTGCCAGATGCCTGGGAGCATGCTTCTAAATTAATTCCTAATTAAAATAATCCTTTTAAGGTGGACTGCAATCACTTACCTCATCCACATTCTCAAAGGCATTGATGATGTCATATGGTAAACAGGACAGAAGATCAATCACAAACCACGTTTTCAGGTAGTTCATCCGTATGAGTTTGGGATCAGATATAACCTCTCCACCAGGGCCAACAAAGGTTGTATGAAAGTTCAAAACAATGTCAACCAGAAAAATAACGTCCACGACACTGTCCAGCACAAGCCAGGCAATGTTGTTCTGTTTTGTCTTGAAGGAGACGTTATATGGAACCATAATTGCTGTGTAGAAGGTTAGAATTAAGATGACCCAGTCCCAAGTGGTCTTAAAAGCACAATAGTGTAGTATAATGTGTGGTGGAGTCTTTGGAGCTTCTTGCTTGTACTGAGGAAGAATATCAGATCCCAGCTGAAGAACCTGTAAAAGACAGAAAAGCAAATGTTACAGTTTTCAATTATTATGATCCAGTAAGGGATCTTATGGATTTCTGTAAGGAACAGAACAAAGACGGGACTGTGTTCATGGGACACTGCAAGTCAACCCTCAGTCTCTGAATGATCTGATTTATTAAGAATGAGTGGAGGCAGCTATCACTGAATGAATGGGAGCAGGAGAGAACCTAAGGATATTCTTGCAAAAAGGGAGGTCTTTGCAGATTGACTGAGGTGAAACCATGCCAATAGCAAGGGCAGGGAAGCTCCATAAACAGGCTGTAGGTACTGCCACACCAGTTTATGCTCTGCAGTTATGAACATGAGTATTCATTCATATTTGGAAGTGTTACAAGACTAATCCTTCATGCCTGGCCTCTTTTATAAACCACTGTTGAGTGAGAACAATACCCCATCAAAGGCAAACCTTGCTGGCTGACCTCCTAAAATTAAGCGTTGCGTGCACAATTTCTCCTCTAACACCTGGCAGTATCATGCTTCCTTCTCATTTTCTTCAAAACGTTGTTGCTCTCACAAGCAACACTAGTGGGTTCTCTTTTATTTCTTGTAATGATTTTTCTTTTTTGCATACGACTATAGTCTTCTGCATGCACACTTCTGTAAAATGTGGAACTGGAAGCACTGCAAAGGAACCAAGCCAAATTCACTGAAGATATTCCTCCCAGGTAATCTAATTACCTCCTCACAGGTAATCTAATTACCTCCTATCTCAGTCCAATACAAGAAACAAAAGCACAAAAGAACCCACAACATGGCAATATATTGCACTGACAACTGAGAGATTCGTGTGTATTTTAGAACTAATAACACCTTTTACATTTGGGGATGTGAAGTCTGTATGGGACAAACTAAATAATTCCAGCCACTTTAAAACTCATTTCAGCCCTACAGCTGTCCCATATCAGAGCTGATGCACCTTATTTGCAAGGACAGTTGGATTGCAAACAGCAATGTGTAAAAATGGTAAAACACAGGATGCTTCCACCATCAAGAGGAGTAAATGGCTCTAAATAAGCAACAAATAAGAATACGAACTCAATTACTACAGATAGGGATTCTCCATTAAGTTTTTGCAGTCTCATTTTTAAGATGGGAAAACTGTAACTGAGATCAGACAGGAAAAGTCTGGCTCTACTGCAAATCTGTTCTTCAGGAATCACCAAGGGAAAACTACAGCAGCTTCTCTCACTCTCTGTTGGCAGATGTGGCTTCCCAACATGTCTAATGTTGGGCTGTAACCTGATGGGATGCAAACCGGCTTCTGCTTACCTGTTCCCACTCTCCCTAAGGTCAGATTAAGCAACTATGACCTGTAAGGAAAGTTAGTTAAACTGATAAGATGAAAAACTAACTTGTTGTTACATTAGTTAGCCATTTGTCTTCTACAGAGTCAGCTGAGTTGCATAAATTTACCCTCTGACCAGAAAACCACTAGACCCCACTCCACGGGCAGCAGTGACAGTGCAGCAGAGACCTTCAGGAGACCATGGCTGCCAACAACTTCTTATCACACTAGCTTTGGTGAACACAAAGGTGTGTGTTGACCTCCAGCTGAACAGCAACACACACCAAGCACTGTGGTTCCAATGGCACACATCAAAGACCCTCACAGATGCCAAATCCCTGGTGAGATGCATAAAAATATCAACCTCCAGGTGTCCCTTCCCCTGTGGCCAGGACACGACTCACTAACAGCACTCCTAAAACCACCCAATGGACAAGGTTCAACTGACCACTGGGGCACACTGAACTCACTGGTGGAACCCTCAGTCCCTCCCTGGAATAAAAGCAATAATCAATACAGTCTCTTTTTCACAGCTGCCTTTGTGCAAATCCATGAAACTCATTCAATACCAAAATTGTTCCCTGCTTTTAACACTCTGTTTTGGCTTTGACTGATTATCTGGTCATTATCTCCAGTTACCTCTTTGGACTCATCTGTGGTCAACACTTTACCGGCATGATAAATCAGACTGGGACTTCTTCCCTTGGTTTCTCCAGACCTGTTTGTTCCCTGCCTTGTTCACTGGGGCAGGAGCTGGAAACAGCCTCACTAGAGTTGGAATAATAAGTTGCTTAGGGCTCAAGCCGAATGCAGGGAACATATGTTTGATAGTTCCCCGTGCCTCTGGTGGTATAGTGCTTAGGAGCTCCCATGATACTGTAAAAGCATAATTATTATTCTTAACATAATATCATGCTGAGTTTGACATGGTGAGTGGGTGGCAAGTGGCTGTGGAGACCACTGAACTATAATGATTATTTCTTTCATGCTGCATGAATTTTTAATTTTAAACCACTAAAGAACACACAATATCTTGTTAGTCAGCTGTGCTCATCACAGGCTCTCTGAATTATTCTTGTATACAACTAATGGAAATGGCTGATAACTCTTAAGCCTGATAAAGGTGAGCAGTATGTTCTGTACGGGATAAGCTGTGATGATAACACTCCTCCTCAGACGCAGAAGTATGGAAAATGGGGCCTCTCCAGCAATGGTGTACCGCCGCTCAGTTTGCATTCCTCACAGCACTTTGCCTACAAAGCACTTTGCAGCTCTTAGAAACTTTTAAGAGAGGAGATTGCACACTCTCCACACAACCTATTCTCAAGTAAAACCTTCTCCTTTATGTGAGCTTTTCCTACTGCCTGATCTAAATCTTACTTGCTGTGACTTATGTCATTTATTTTTCTCTAGCTATAGTGGTCCCAGTGAACATTCCTTCCTCATTCTGTGCCACTGCTTTGGGTTTATCTGAATATTGTTACCACATCTTCTCCAGCCTTCCCTTCTCTGGACTTAGTTACAAAACAATGAAATGCCATTAACTAGAAAAGCAAGATGTAAGAGTAACTTGGCTCATCAGTCATCCAAGCTATTGGTATGGGATAATTCGAGGGAAAACATCACACTGCCAACACCTGAAGACTGTGGCTTTCCATTCTGATTTTAATTTAAGTAGAGTTTTTATTATCAAAGTCCACTAAAACCAAAAAGGGAACAAAAAAAACCCCAACAATCAAACCCACATTTAAAGTTGTTACCATTTCTTAGCATTGAACCCAGGAGAAGTTCTCTAGGACAAGATGGTTAGGGCTGTAATTTTCAGTAGCCCATATATTTTGACCATATGTTTTTGACCCGTGTATTTTTCATTACCAATGGACATGAAGGTGAAAGCAGTACCTCTGTTTCATCAGTTAACCTGAAGGCATTCACTTGTTGCACCATCTGCACTGCTAAGGAGATGTTTGCAACCTGCCAAAGAGTTCATTTCATCAGTTCTGAAGAAAAAAATGATCAGAAAAATACTGCAGGAATGACTTTGCAAGAAAGTCGAGATTAAGCTCAATATGTACTCGATGTGCCTGTACAACCCCGGGGATACTTCCAAAGGGGTTTCTCAAACAAATCCCATTTCCCCAGGAGAGTAAACGACCATCCACAAGGCTCAAGAACATCAAGTCTGGTTCCATGTCGTCCAAATCCGAGTTGCGAAATGTTTTCCTCTAAGAACATTTCATTATTAATGGGAATTAGGGTTTTCTTTGCCCCCATCTCTTCCTGCCTCACCAAGGGAGCAGGCTGGTGTCTGTCCCCCCTTACCTCGGCTAACCGGGAGTGTTTGTGCACCACTTCAGCCTTGTTCATGGGCGTCAGCTGCTGCAGGACGCTCCGGCTGTTCGTCAGGGCCCGCGTCAACCGAGCAAACTTTGTCCAACCTGTGGGAAAGGAGGAAATTGTGTCAGAAATACTCAGACCTCACTCGTCGCTAGTGCATCTCCTTTGGCATTTGCTGATATTAAGTCTCAGGCTCGAATAGTTTCTCTAAAACATTGCACAGAACAGCTTCAGGCACCGGGCTTAAAGACCTTGCAAACGAGAGAAAACACCGCTGCTTCAAGGCAACCACGTGTAATTCTGAGTAAAATCAAAATGTCCTGGCTCATTCTTTCTCCTGCCTTTTGCAGACGCTGTGTTAGAGGGATCACATTGTGCTTTCAGCCTTCTGGGGAGTTGCTCTGCTGCTGAAATCCAATTCTAAGCCACCGAAGTTAATGCAAAGGCTTCCCAAGTCTGCAAATCCTGCACAAGTAAAATCCAGCTACAGAAAAGCTCCTGCTGATTCAGAGCCACTGGAGCAGCCCCAAAAGCCTGATCCTTAGGTCTTTACTGTTTCTTGCCCCAACTAGACTTCAGGGACAAAACTAAAACTTTAAAAAAAAACCAACACAACAAACCAGCAAAATACATCACTGCCTCAACAGCAATGCTTCAGATGAAAAAAAAACCCCAAAACTATTAAGACTTTAAAAACAGATTAAGCACTAATTTTAAATGGCATTAAGAAATACACATAGCTGTTAGACTAATGACAAACAGCTGCCTTAATGGCAGCTTAAGACCCACAACACAAGGCCCAGGGAATTTTTTTGTGCAGCGTTCAGAAGGAAGCAATTTGGGTTTGTACTGGCAGCAGCACTGACCCGGGAAGGTGTCACCAAGTCACCCCTGCTGGAAAAACACCCCTAGGTGACAGCGGGCAGTCAAGAGACAAGGTGGACCAGTGGCAGCAAAGAAATGATATGGGGTTTAAAAACTGGTAGCACCTTGGCGTTAAGCAGGAAAATCAAAAATTCAGATATCTGCTAGAAGGAAATGCCTCCCCAAGAGCAGTGAAGAAGATGCTCCACATCAGCTTTAGCCAGGTACAACCTGATACTGTACTACACAGGTGTGTATAAAATAACAAATAAATTACAAACAGAAAACGGGTTCAGGAGAATGTTTTACTTATTTAACTTGAATGCTGAGTAGGTGAAAATTGGGGGAAACGTCACATCTGAGAAAGGAAACACAACATTTCTATGTTAGCTAGGTTTATTTTTAAACGCCTGTTGTCTGGTAGGAGGCAGGGACTTGGAAACTTAAAGGAAGCCCTGGGGTAGATAAAACGAAGGGCAGAGAACAGACAAGGCAATAAAATTTCAAGGAAAAAAATAATTTACAGTTTGGCTTTGCAATTTACCACATATATTATCACGTTCACACAAATGTAAAACCATTGTGCATCTCTTCGTAATCAAAACAGACCTAAATATCACGATATACCACCAGCACAGCACAAACCATTTGTGTCTGGCTATTTATATATGACCTCAAAAAAAAAAGCACATTAAAATTGCACTGCGAAAAGGTAAGAAATAGAAGTGTTATCTTAACTTTTCAAATCTAAACCTTAAATGTGACCTTTGGATATGCCTCATGCTTCTCGAGCTTACAGGGATATTCAATTAGGAACATGCACTTTCTGTTTTAAACAAGGTCAAAAGAGACTATAGTGATCCCAGTATGAACTATTAATTTATAGAGAAAACCACAAGAATTTTTTTTTCCCCCTAACTGTCTTAAAGCTGTCTTCTTGCCACAGTTTTAAAGACAAAAGTCTGAACTGCTCTTTATCTTTCTCAGCCAGGGATTTCAAAGAGAAAGCAAGCATGGCAAGAGCGTCGTGACAGCTCTGCCCGACATTTCTTGTAATTGCTGGAGGTCACGGAGCATCCAGACGGCTTTTGGCACGCTGCAACCACCCAGCAGGAACCAGAGAAAAAGAGCAGTTCTCCTCCAGGAAGTGGTCACCCACCTCCAAACCCTGGGCAGGTACCTACACACACATCACACACTCACCGCGTTCTTGCCCTGGAAAGACACTCCCCTGTGGTCCACGGAGATGGACCTTGGGGCAGTCCTCAAGCTTTAGTTTGTTCACCCTGCCCCACAAAGCTGGTAAGAGAGTGATGGAAAGGTGCTCTGCAAAGCCAAAAGCACCATAGCCAAACTTGGATTCAGTCCCAAATCACAGAATGACATGGGGTTGGAAGGGACCTCTGGAGATCACCTAGTCCAACCCTCTGCCAAAGCAGGGCCACCCAGAGCAGGTTGCACAGGAACATGCCGAGGTGGGTTTGAATGTCTCCAGAGAAAGAGGCTCCACCACCTCCCTGGGCAGCCTCTTCCAGGGCTCTGTCACCTTCAAAGTAAAGAAGTTCCTCCTCGTCTTTAGGTGGAACTTCTTATATTCAGGTGCCCATTTCCTCCTGTCCTGCCCCTGGGCTCCACTGAAAAAAGACCAGCCCCATCCTCTTGACACCCACCTACACCCAAATACCCCCATTTGTCACATCTCAGCTTTAGCAGCTACTCTCTGACAGCAACCTCACGAACAAGGAGAAATGCAAAGTCCTTTACCTGGGTAGGAACAACCCCATGCATCAATATATAGAATCATAGAACAGAATCATAAAATCATCTAGGTTGGAAGGGACCTTAAAGATCATCTAGTCCAACCATCAACCTAACTCAAGGCTGGGGGCTTCCCAGACAGAAAGTGGCTTGGCAGAAAAAGACCTAGGGGTCCTGGTAGACAAAGCAGAACGTGAGCCAGCAACGCGCCCATGCTGCAAAGAAGGCAAAGGGTACCCTTGGCTGCACTGCCAGCAGGTCAAAGAAGGTCCTCTCCCCCTACTCAGCACTGGTGAGGCCAGTTCTGGGCTCCCCAGTACAAGGGAGACATGGACATCCTGAAGTGGTTCTGACAAATGGCCCCAAAGATGATTAAGGGATTGGAGCATCTCTACTTCAAGGAAAGTCTGAGAGCTGGCACTTTTTGGCCTGGAGAAGAGAAAGCTTGTGGGGGTGGATCTTATTATGTCCATAAATACCTGAAGGGAGGGTGCAAAGAAGACAGAGCCAGGCTCTTTCCAGTAGTGCCCAGTGACAGGACCAGATGCAGTGGGCACAAAATGAAACACATGATGTTCTGTCTACACATCAGGGAACAGCTTTTTACTGTCATGGTGACCGAGCACTGGCACAGGTTGCCCAGAGAGGTTGTGGAGTCTTCCTCCCAGGAGATATTCAAAAGCGGTATGGACATGGTCCTGGGCATCTAGCCACAGGGGGCCCTGCTTCAGCAAGGAGGTTGGACAAGATGAACTCCTGATGTCCCCTTCCAACCCTAAACATCCTGGGATTCTGTAACCTTTCTGATGGCTGACAGTTAATGATCCAAGGATTACTTTATTTTCTGAGGTTTAGGGCATTGAACTCTATAGTGATTAGATGAGGATTTGGAGAAGAGTCAGCAACGATAGGAGATGGCTTCATGTAGCAATCCTTTCCCATGGGGCTTCACAGGTTGAGAGGTCTCACTCACAAAAACATGGGTTTTAAAAAATACCTCTCCTTTTATAAAAGCAAAACTGGTAAGAAATCCGTTTTCATCACCTTAGGTAAGAAAAACATCTCTTTTGCATTTACCACAAATACAGAAAGCCTGGGCAAGTTGGGGAAGATGTGCCACAAGGAGCTGGAGGAGTATGACACATACCAAACAACAGCAATCCTTTTGCTGTAAAAATAAAAGGAAGAACTATGACTTTTTGAAATATTCCTATTCTACCTTGGTGAGATCATCAATGTCAGGTGAAAGAAAGAAGCTACACATTTTTAGCATTCAGAGTTACCACTCTGCTCATCTGGTCTGACCTCTTCTTTTCATGGGGCAAACCATTTCATCATGTCCTTTGTCCAGCAAGACCAAAGCTCTGCTTTGTGCTAGAGCCGACCTTTTGCAAAAAAACCTTCCAGTCTCATTTAGAGACCTCACATTTTCACATTTTCAGCCCTGTGAAGCCCATGATTCTGGATGTTGGAAGTACAGAATACGCTAACATGACTTTTTTCTAATTCAGCACAAATTCCAGCATTATTCTACTGCTCCAACATATCCATCTGCAATAGTGTGAAACCAACTTCTTCTGTTTCCTATTTACAACCCAAGAGAATTAAAAACATAGCAACAGCAAGATGCTGGGGTATGAGTGGGAAGGTGGAAATGTATACAGGCTGCCTCGTGTCTGAAATAATCTGTACAGGGTACATTTCTCCATTTCTTGACCTTGTTGTAGACTAGATAACTTCAGAATTATATTTAAAACCAATGTGTGTGTTTAAATAGATAAGGCAAAATTTTCATAGCTGCCTACTGTTGTCAATGTTTCTTCAAATGATTCTGTCCTTTCTTTTCCTCTATGGAGACAAGACTTGAAAAGAATGATAATTTTATCCTATGTATTAGTGACCACCTGTCCTCATAGATATTTTTAGTCTGGAAGGAGTAAGAAGCAGCACAAATAGCAGGTGCAAGAGGGAAAAAAAAACTACTCATGAGAAAAAACAACACTTCTGATGCTCTCTTCAGCTCAGCTGGATTGGATCTGTCTTCCACAGCACCACTTGAAAAATAATACCGTGAGCTTGCACCATTGCACTCAAATTCTTAGGAATAAAGACAACTTCATCAGATCACACACCAGATCAGGCCAGCAGCTGCTTCTCCCTACAAGTTAAACTGGGTATTTCAGAGGAAGATGTTAACTACCTCAAATGGAAAATTCTGGAATAACATGCACACAAAATGGTTGTTTCCCCTGGTTCTCCTAAATTACTTTCTGATTCATGGATAAAACCAGACAAATTTATACCCCTGATATGAAAAAAAAAAATACCCTCATTATCTGCATCCATTCTCATGATCCAAAACGTCAAGTGCATGCTCAGTAAGTTTGCAGATGACACCAAGCTCGGTGGGAGTGTTGATCTGCTTGAGGGTAGGAAGAATATACAAAGGATTATAAAATATTAGAAAAGGCTGCCCAGG